TACTACTACGACTGTCTGCGGGCGGATCTTCAGGATCGCCACCCGCGGGCGGACCCTTAGTTGCTGGACCACTTGGTCAGCCTGGAAGCGTTTCTCGACAAGTCGATCTTGTTCGGGTTCTCTTTCGGCATCAGCAAGGCGGAGGTGTGCGTTTCGGAGGGGAAGCTCTTGGGGCACCGCATCGGGCGGAGCGGGAGCTCGCCTGATGAAGAACGGTGTCAGGCGGTCGTGGACTTCCCTCCGCTCAAAGAGAAACTGCACATACAACAGTTCCTCGGGTGTGCCAATTGGCTCCGAGGATACTTGCCGGCGGAGTATGGACACGCCGCTAAGGTCTTAGGCCAATGGCAAAAGCCTGGCTCCGAGTTTCCGGAGGGCGGCCTAGGCTCTGGCGCCACTCCAGGCTGCAAGGTCAAGGCCATAAAGCAGATGATGCAGCGAGGCTGAGCTCATCGTCGGCTCCCTTAACTGGAGCACGAGCTCGAAGGCTAACCTGGAGTGCGGGGTGCACCTCACCCTGGCTCAGGACGCGGAGGTAGTCGGCGACTACGTTCGCGATTTCGACACCTGCTTTGCTGCTGGCACCAAGCTGGAGGATGCCAAGCCGCCCGGAAAGGCGGCTGGTCTCAACAGCGCCACCGGTACGCAGCAGCAGCCGCAGCAGCCTGAGCCGGCAGCTGCGTAGAGTGCTCGCGGCGGGCTACGCGCGAAGCCCGTGGGCATTGATTGCCGCGGCTAAGGACTTAGCCCGGTGTCTTTTTAAGTGCCTTGAGCGGGGCCTGCGGCAGTGTCACTGCGCAGCTCAAGCAGTGCATGTAAGGCCCACTGCTCGGCATAAATTTGCCAAGGTGGCAGGCGTTTTGCTTACGCCGTTGCTTCGCCACCCGCGGCAGCTTTCTACGCGGCGTCTTTGCTGGACGCCCGCCTTCTCATAGCTTGTCGTGCCAGCCGGCACCTGTGTGCGGCACACCCGTGCTGTTACCTTGTGCGGCCGGCACGCGGACCTTAATTGGTCGCGGCCCGCCTGTTGCACCAGGCCGCCGTGGCTAATAGTCGGCCCTGTCGGGTCGCTGGACACTTTTGTGTCGCGCCAGCTGGCGCTCGTGTTCGGCACACCTGTGCCGTCCCTTGCAGAAGCTGGCGCGCGGACCTTGTTCGGTCGCGGCCTTGCGGCTCGCGGCCCTTCTTCGGGCGCGGGCGCGGCTGCCTGAGCGAAGG